ATGGGGGAGGGGAGTGCGTGGGGTCATGGGTATGGAGGGGAGCGCGTGGGGGAGGGGAGTGCGTGGGGTCATGTGGGGTATGGAGGGGAGCGCATGGGGGAGGGGAGTGCGTGGGGTCATGTGGGGGCTCTGCCCCAGGTCTCCGGGTGCTGCGCAGACCAGCATGTCATGAGTGTTGATGCCGTGAACGTCCTGCTGTCTCATCCTCACAGACCCCGTGGGGGGGGGTGTGTGTGTGTGTGTGTGCGTGCGTGTGTGCGTGCGCGCGTGCGTGTGCGTACACACAGTGGTTCCTGGCCATGGACTTGGCTGGGCCCACGGCAAGTTTTACGGTTGTTACTGGTCAGGGGAGCCGAGTTTGGGCTGCCTGACCTGGACAATGCTCGGTGTCTGCCACCTGGCGCGCCCCGCCCTGACCCGTCTCACGCTCACAGCCCCACGGGCCCCTGCCTGCTGGGCCGTGACCCGGCTCCGCAGGCAGGCCGGCCCACGTGACCTGGACGTATCCCCAGTTGCTGCCGGCCGTGCTGAGGGCCCTGAAGGGCCGTGCCGCCCGCCGCTGCCTCACCCAGGAGCTGCACACGCACGTGCAGCAGAACCGGGCCGTGCTGGACCACCAGCAGTTCGACTTCGTCGTCCGCATGATGAACTGCTGCCTGCAGGTGAGGGCGCCACGCGATGCCGGGGCCCCTCGTCGGGGACATTACATGGGGTGAGAGGCCCAGTGTGAGGGCAGAGGACCCCTCTTTCGGGGACAGTGACAGTGGGGGGCCCGGTGTGGGGGTGCAGAGGACCCCTCCTCTGGGGACAGTGACAGTGGGGGGCCCGGTGTAGGGGTGCAGAGGACCCCTCCTTTGGGGACAGTGACAGTGGGGGGCCTGGTGTGGGGGTGCAGAGGACCCCTCCTTTGGGGACAGTGACAGTGGGGGGCCCGGTGTAGGGATGCAGAGGACCCCTCCTCTGGGAATAGTGACGGGAGGAGCCTGGTGTGGAGTGCAGAGAATCCCACTGCCGGGGACAGTGACGAGGGAGGAGGCCCTGGTCTGTGGGTGGCAGTGGTGTGGGGAGAAACTTACTGGAGGCGGGTAGGGGGGTCAGGGCAGGTGGGTGTGGACACCCCTTTGTCCTTAAGGGAGCTACGGCGATAGGCGCAGGTAGGAGGCCCGGTAGGTGGGTGGCGGTGACTGGGGGGCCTGTCTGGCAGGGGGGCTCACACCGAGGCCCGCCTCTGCCCAGGACTGCACCTCCATGGACGAGCATGGCATCGCAGCCGCCCTGCTGCCTCTGGTCACTGCCTTCTGTCGGGTGAGTGTCGGAGGCCCCACCGCCCCCTCCTGCCCCATGGTGTCCCCGCTCACCTGGCCACAGACTGCTGACTCGCTCCTGGCCCCACAGAAGCTGAGCCCGGGGGTGACGCAGTTTGCGTACAGCTGTGTGCAGGAGCACGTGGTGTGGAGCACGCCGCAGTTCTGGGAGGCCATGTTCTATGGGGACGTGCAGACCCACATCCGGGCCCTCTACCTGGAGCCTGCCGAGGACCACGCCCCCTCTCAGGTGAGCCGGGCCCGGGCTGCTGGGGCCGGCAGGGTGGGGCGGGCCGGCGGGGCTCATTGCGTGGTGCTGTACGCAGGAGGTGGGGGAGGCGCTCCCGTGCGAGGACGAGCGGTCGGCCCTGGACGTGGCCTCCGAGCAGCGGCGCCTGTGGCCCACGCTGAGTCGGGAGAAGCAGCAGGAGCTGGTGCAGAAGGAGGAGAGCACCGTGTTCAGCCAGGCCATCCACTACGCCAACCGCATGAGCTACCTCCTGCTGCCCCTGGACAGCAGCAAGAGCCGGCTGCTGCGGGACCGCGCGGGCCTGGGCGACCTGGAGAGCGCCAGCAACAGCCTGGTCACCAACAGGTGGGCCTGCGCCCGTCCCAGCCTGGGGGGCATCCTGGCCAAGGGAGGGACGGTCCCCGGTGTCGGGGGTCCCAGCTGAGGTAGGGCGTCCTGGTCTCCAGGGTGTCCTGGCCAAGGTGAGAAGGTCCTGATGTTGGGGAGTCCTGGACGAGGGGGTGCATCTGTCCTGGCCTTCAGGGTGTCCTGGCCTCGGGGTCTCAGTGTAGGGGGAGGTCTGAGTGTCCTCGCCTCATGACGGGGGTCCCAGCTTCCGGTAGAGTCCTTGCGTTGAGGGGTTGGATTCTGACCAGGTGGTTCCCAGCATCTAGGGGGGTAGGATTCTGGCCTTGGGGTGGGGGCTTCCTGGCCTGGGGCGTCTGGCCTCGGGCCTGTGCCCACGTGCCCTCCTTGGCAGTATGGCGGGCAGCATGGCGGGCAGTTACGACACAGAAAGTGGCTTTGAGGATGCTGAGACCTCAGATGTGGCCGGGGCCGTGGTCCGCTTCATCAACCGCTTCGTGGACAAGGTCTGCACAGAGAGTGGGGTTACCAGCGACCACCTCAAGGGTCTGCATGTCATGGTGCCAGGTATGGGGGGTCTGGGATGCAACTCCCTTCCAGTGGGGCAGGTGTGGGTGGCCCCGGGCGTGAGACCTGCTCTCCCCCAGACATCGTCCAGATGCACATCGAGACCTTGGAGGCCGTGCACCGTGAGAGCAAGAGACTGCCACCTATTCAGAAGGTGGGGGCCGTGGGCGCAGGGGCTGGGCCGGGAGTCTGGAGGCCCAGGCTGAGGGCATGGGGGGCTGGGTTGGGAGGCTGAGGGCCCAGGCCGGAAGTGCTGGGGGATCTGGGACAGGGACACGGGGGTCTGGGCCAGGACTGCTGGGGGATCCAGGCTGCGGGCACCTGTGGGTCTGGGCTGTGAGTGCTGGGGAGTCCAGGCCGTGAATGTAGGTGGTTCTGGGCCTTGAGTGCTGGGGGGTTCTGAGTCGTGCATGTGGGTGGGTCCCACCGCACCCTGAGACCGCTCCCCTCCTCTGGCAGCCCAAACTGCTGCGGCCGCGTCTGCTGCCCGGCGAGGAGTGTGTGCTGGACGGGCTCCGTGTCTCCTTGCTCCCTGATGGGCGTGAGGCTGGCGCCGGGGGTGGCGTGGGGGGCCCCGCGCTGCTGCCAGCCGAGGGTGCCGTCTTCCTCACCACGTATCGGGTCATCTTCACGGGGATGCCCGCCGACCCCCTGGGTGAGCCTCTGCGGCCCCCACCCCCCAGGGCTGCAGGGCCCCTGTGGGAGATGGGCTCCCCTACACCTTGGGCCCTAGGAGTCTGTGCCCCCTGCCCGAGCCCCCCCTCCCTGTTCTCCCCTGACTGCCGGCTGTTCTCAGTGGGAGAGCAGGTGGTGGCACGCTCCTTCCCGGTGGCCGCGCTGACCAAGGAGAAGCGCATCAGTGTCCAGACCCACGTGGACCAGTTCCTGCAGGACGGGCTGCAGCTGCGCTCATGCACGTTCCAGGTGGGGGCCCTGGGGGGTCACAGAGGTCTTGGGTGGGGAAGGGGGCCGTGGGGAGGCTGTGGGGTGTGAGGGGGGGCTGCAGGATGTGGGGGGGGGAGGGGGCCGCCAGGAGGGAGGGGCCATCCTGGCCAGCTCCCTCTGGGCCCATGGGACCTCTGGGTTCCTGTATGGAATCCTGCTGGGCCCCAGGTCCTAGGTGTTTGGCAGGGCCCCCACTCTCAGTGTGGGCCTTCCAGCCACCGCAGCCCCAGCCGCCAGCTACTAGCCGTGTCCGTGGGTTAGTGTGAGCTGCACACCTCGCCCTTCCTGCAGGGGTGCTCATTGCCCTCCAGCTCCAGTCAGATGAGAGGAAGGTGTGCTTCCTCTGCTCAGGGCTGCTTTGGGGGGCACTCTCAGAGGGGGCACAAGGCCAGTCCCCCGAGACACCAGAGTGGGCCTGGGGCTCTCGTTTGGTGTGCACACGCCCCTTTCCAAGGATGTATGCCCATTCTGGGCCACCCAGTCATGGGGCCTAGGGGCCTCCTCACAGCTCACCTGCCTGCGTGGCCTGACTGGCTGGCTGAGGAGGGGCCTGACTGGCCGGCGGGGCCTCGGGCTGGACCTCCCATCCGCTGAGGGCATCCTTGTCTGGCCCAGCTGCTGAAGATGGCGTTCGACGAGGAGGTGGGGTCTGACAGCGCCGAGCTCTTCCGTAAGCAGCTGCACAAGCTGCGTTATCCCCCAGACATCAGGGGCACCTTCGCCTTCACTGGGGGCACTGCCCACACGCCTGGCCGGCCAGCCCGGGCCACCAAGGACAAGGGGCCTTCCCTCAGGTACGGGCCCAGTTCCCAGGGGTACCTGTCCCACCTGGGCCGCCCCCAGGGCCCAGTGTACAGGCATGCGTCTGTCGTGCTCGCTGTGTTTATCTGGTTCCCTCCAGGGCCCTGTCCCGGAACCTGGTGAAGAACGCCAAGAAGACCATTGGGAGGCAGTACGTCACTCGGAAGAAGTACAACCCCCCGAGCTGGGAGCATCGGAGCCAGCCCCCCGCTGAGGACCAGGAGGACGAGATCTCAGGTGAGGCAGGGGGCCAGGTGGTCCCTGGGTGCCGACCCCTTGGGGAGGGCAGGGCGGTCCCTAGTGCCAACCCTGTGTGCTGTACCCCAGTTTCGGACGAGCTTGAGCCCAGCACCTTGACCCCCACGTCGGCCCTGAAGCCCTCGGACCGCATGACCATGAGCAGCCTGGTGGAGCGGGCATGCTGCCGTGACTACCAGCGCCTGGGCCTGGGTACGCTCAGCAGCAGCCTGAGCCGGGCCAAGTCCGAGCCTTTCCGCATCTCCCCGGTCAACCGCATGTATGCCATCTGTCGCAGGTGAGCCGTTGCACAGGCAGAGGCCGCGGGGTAGGGGGCCCCGAGGGCGGGGTCTCCAGAAGTGCCTCTGGCCTGGGCAGCGCTGAACTGGGGTGCACGGTGGGGCCAAGCGCGCTGCCTCACGTGCACCTCATCGCAGCTACCCGGGGCTGCTGATCGTGCCCCAGAGCATCCAGGACAATGCCCTGCAGCGTGTGTCTCGCTGCTACCGCCAGAACCGCTTCCCCGTGGTGTGCTGGCGCAGCGGACGCTCCCGGGCCGTGCTGCTGCGCTCAGGGGGCCTGCACGGCAAGGGCGTCGTCGGCCTTTTCAAGGCCCAGAACGCGCCATCACCAGGTACGCTGCTGCCGCCCCGTCCCTTCCCTTTCCTTCTCCCCTCCCCTTCCTTTCTTCTCTCTCCCACCTCCCCCTCTTCCCCTTTCTCCCCTCCAGAGAGGCGCTGGCTGGGCACTGGGCTGGCCCTGCACCCCACCCACCGCCCTTTCCTCTGCAGGCCAGTCCCAGGCGGACTCGAGCAGCCTGGAGCAGGAGAAGTACCTGCAGGCCGTGGTCAGCTCCATGCCCCGCTACGCTGATGCATCGGGGCGCAACACCCTCAGTGGCTTCTCCTCTGCCCACCTGGGCAGCCATGGTGAGGGCTTCTTGGGGTGGGGGGCAGGGTGGGCCAGGCAGGAGGGGCAGAAGGAGCCTTGGCCAGGATACTGGGGAGAGGGATGTGAAGTCCGCCCAGGGCCAGGTAAGTGTGCTGAGCCCCACCTGGGCCTCCCCAGCCCTTGCTCAGCCAAGCTCCCGGGCTGGCCTCTGCGTTCTTCGGCACCATCTCAGCACGCTTTCTGGGGACGTAGGCAGCCCCTCTGCCCACTGCCTGTTTCCGCCACCTGAGCCAGGGAGGATCCCGTCACCCATGCCCTACCCACCTGTCTTGGCCCTGGTGGCTGCACAGCACCTTATGCAGGTGCCTTTGCACCGAGGGGTCTTGCCGCCCAGGGTCTCTGCCCAGGGTTGCCAGTGCTGGGGCCCCTCCTGTGCAGGGCAGGCCTGGGCCCGGACACATCGTCGGTGCTCAGGAAATGCTGAGTGGTGCTTTTGCATGCCCACCGTGTGGGGTGGCACTGCATGTGGGCATGGGGTCAGGTCCACAGGGGCGACGGGCAGAGCCAGCTCAGTGGAGGGCAAGGTTTCAGATGGGAGATGCGGCCTAATGGCCAAGGACTGCTTGGAGGTCTGTAGGGAGGAGGGGTGGGTGATACAGAGGGCAGCATCTGCCTGCAGCTCGCCTCCCTTCTCCCCTCCCCTCCCCCCCTTCCCTTCTTGTCCTCCCCCCGCCTTTTCTTCTCCCCTCTCCTCCTTCTCATTCCCGTTTCTCCTCTCCTCCTCTTCCCTTCTCCTCCCCCTTCTTCCTCCCCCTTCCTCCTCCCACCCTGCTGCGCATGAAAGCCAGGCTCCTCTCCAAGTCTCCATTGTCTTGTCTCCCCTCCACAGTCTCCCACCGTCCCGTCCCCTCTTGCAGCTGTCCCCCAGGCAGGGGCTCCTCAAGGTCTGGGTGTGGCCTCCCACTCCTCCCACTCCAGCACACGGGCCCTGAGTTTGTGTCCCAGCCACGTGGGTCCTCTGAGCCAGGGCCTCCTGCCCAGCTGGTTCTCAACGCCTGTGTTTAGATGTCTTGTGTCTGTGAGCACCAGGCTGAGAGCCACACCTGGGACGCACTGTGTCCTGACTCTGGCTGGCCCACCCCAGCAAGCCGTTGTCCCTGTTTGTGGTACGCAGTGACAGCCCCCACCCCACAAGGGTTTCTGAGGAATGAGCAGTTTAAACACAGCCTGCAGTTGGCCTGGTACAGAGTGCTCAGTAATGCCACCATCACCTCATGTCACCCCCATTGAGGCGCCCTGACCCTGTGGTAGAGGTCACCTCAGGTCACTCCCGGTGAGGTGCCCTGACCCTGTGGTAGAGGTCACCTCGGGTCACTCCCGGTGAGGTGCCCTGACCCTGTGGTAGAGGTCACCTCGGGTCACTCCCGGTGAGGTGTCCTGACCCTGTGGTAGAGGTCACCTCGGGTCACTCCCGGTGAGGTGCCCTGACCCTGTGGTAGAGGTCACCTCGGGTCACTCCCGATGAGGCGCCCTCAGCCCACTGGTAGAGGTCAGTAGATGTCCCTGGGCCTCCATGACCTTCGCTGACTCCCTGACACACACCCCCACCCCGCCCCGTGCTTGTCTTCCCCTTGGTGTCCCCTGGGCATTTGACTAGCTGTCTCCATACCCATCTGCATCACCTGGATCCCCTGTATCGCCAGCGTGTGTGTCGGCTCAAGTCCAGGCTCTGCCCTTTCACAAGTATCCTTACCTGTAAGAGGACAAGGTACCTGCAGCAGCGTCATTAGCGTTGGGTGGTCTCATGCTTGGCTCACAGTAACAGGCAGTGGGCAGTGGGAACCCCCACTCTGCCCTGGGTTGACCTCACGCTCCTCTGTGGAGGCTGGCGAGCCAGGGGAGGGGCTCCAGGCCCCTGTAAGTGGGCAGAGTGCCTAGATGGGGCTGTGCTGTGGGTGGTCCATCTGTGTCCATGGCCAAGGCCCCCCTTGGGCCTTCCAGGCTTCTGAAAGCTCCAGGCCAGTCCTGCCTGCTGCTTCCCTCGAGGCCGTGCGCACCCTGAACCAGGAGAGAGGAGGCCGGAGCTGCTATGGGTTGGGTCAGCATGGAGAGTGCAGCCCTGCTCTCCTCACCCTCTGGGACAGTGCCTCTTCCCACTCCTGAGGGTCTTGGCACGGATCCCTGCTGCTGGGTTGGCAGGGCAGTCTGTAGTGGGAGCCAACCCTGTGCCCCTTGGCCCACAGACCCCTGGTTGGGCACCTGGGCGGGCTGAGCCTTCTCTCTGCTTGCCCCCAGTGCCCAGTCCCCGAGCCAGGGTCACCACGCTGTCCAACCCCATGGCGGCCTTGGTCTCCAGACGGACCGCGCCCCGAGGTACCGTACCAGGCCACGCAGCCAGGCCTGTTGCCGGGCACTAACCGCCCCTCGCGGCGCGGCACCACGTCCTCACTCTGCTCACTGGCACTAACCGCCCCTGTGACGGGCTGTCACCGCTCTCCCAGTGGCCCCGGCCTTCCTGCTCCCACCAGCATTAACGCCCCTCACTAATGCAGGCACCGGCCTTGCTCCTCGGTCTCAGCATCTCTCCTCCCTGCCCACCCTCCCTGGGGCTCAGCCAGCCCCAGGTAGGTGGTGTCCGCACCCTACCCACGCTCACCTGTCGCTGATCCCGCAGGGAAGTGGGGCAGCATCCGGGCCAGTGGACGCAGCGGTGGCAGTGTGGATGTGGGCTCCCGGTTAGCAGGGAGAGACGTACTGGGCACCCCCCAGCCCAACGGGGCACCCCCTGACCCTGGCTTCCTGCGGCCCCAGCGTGCAGCACTCTACATCATTGGGGACAAAGCACAGCTTAAGGTAACGCATGGTGCAGGGCGGGCACAGGGGTGGCGGGCCGTGGGACGGGGGTGGCGGGCCGCGAGACAGGTGGTGGGCTGCGGGACGTGGGTGGCGGGCAGCGGGACGTGGGTGGTGGGCCACGGGTTGGGTGGTGGACCGCAGGATGGGTGGGTGGGCCTGGGGTGTGAGTTGGGGGTGGGCCTGGGGTGTGGGTTGGGGGTGGGCCCCGGGGCATGGACTGGGGAGTGAGCATGGAGGTGTGGGCCCTGGGGCATGGGTTGGGGGTTAGGCATGGAGGGATGGGCCCTGGGGCGCGGGTTGGGGGGTAGACGTGGGGGTGGTAGACCCTGGGACATGGGGCAGGTTGTAGGGCAAGGCGTCGGTAAGCAGGGCCCCACCTTCTCACGCGACCCCCCCAGGGTGTGCGGCCGGACCCTCTGCAGCAATGGGAGCTGGTGCCCATCGAGGTGTTTGAGGTGCGGCAGGTGAAGGCAAGCTTCAAGAAGCTGTTGAAGGCCTGCGTCCCAGGCTGCCCCGCTGCCGAACTTGGCCCAGCCTCCTACCTGCGCTCACTGGAGGACTCGGAGTGGCTGAGCCAGGTCTCCTTGTGGCCTTCGGGGTGCAGGGGGACCCGGAGGGAAGAGGGGCAGCGAGGGACCCCAGACGGGGGGAGCGGGGTGGTTTGGTTTGCTTCTTTGACAGCTTGGCCCCCAGGATGGGAGGAGGCTGCACCCTCTGACGACCCCATCCGACCCGTGGTGGGGCCACTGGGATTGTGGAGCGGGAAGGTGCAGGCAGGTCGGGGGCAGGCCAGGCTGGGCAGACCTGGGTGTGGCGTCAGCAACAGCCTGCTGGGCCCAGTGCCTTGGTGACCCACGCAGGGGCCGTGAGGCCTCTGCCTCTGTGGAGCCCCTGTGCTCTGTCCGAGGGGGTGGGAGCAGGTATTGGCGGTGCCTGCTGGAGAGCAGGCCCCAAGGACAGGTGTGGGCTGGGACAGCCGGTCCTTGGTCGGCCCAGAGCAGCTGTGCCATGCAGCGCTGTGCCCACCCTGGCAGGCGAGGTGCCTGGAACTGTTGGGCCACGCAGGCTGAGCTGGGCTCTGCTCAAAGGTGGGTGGGCGTGCAGGCGGGGCAGCTGGGCAGGGGCCCCAGCACAGTACTGTCTGTGTGAGGGGCTGTGGGGGGTTCTGGGTAGAGGGGTGATCTGGGCTGGGGCTGCGGGCGGCGAGGTAGGAGGTGGTGAGAGGGCGGTCTCGGGCGGAGCGGTGGCAGCAGTGGGTTCTGGATTCACACTGAGCAGGATTTGGAAGGAGGCGGTCACAGGGCTGTGCCGTCCCCGCAGATCCACAAGCTGCTGCAGGTGTCGGTGCTGGTGGTGGAGCTGCTGGACTCAGGCTCCTCGGTCCTGGTGAGCCTGGAGGACGGCTGGGACATCACCACCCAGGTGCGCAGAGGACGGGGGGACAAGGGAGATGTGGGAGCACGGGGGGATGGGGGGGATGCAGCGGGACGAGGGGGCCGAAGGGGGCGTGGGGGCGCCATCCTCACGAGCAGGGCCTGCAGGTGGTGTCACTGGTGCAGCTGCTCTCAGACCCCTTCTACCGCACCCTGGAGGGCTTCCGGCTGCTGGTGGAGAAGGAGTGGCTGTCCTTCGGCCATCGCTTCAGCCACCGTGGGGCCCACACCCTGGCCGGGCAGAGCAGCGGCTTCACACCCATCTTCCTGCAGTTCCTGGATTGTGTACACCAAGTAGGGAGGCTGCTGGGGGGCCGCGGGGGGGCTGTACGCAGGGGGCCTGACCCAGCAGCCTCTGACGGTGTGGGGCTGCTGCCGCAGGTCCACCTGCAGTTCCCCATGGAGTTTGAGTTCAGCCAGTTCTACCTCAAGTTCCTCAGCTACCACCACGTGTCGCGCCGGTTCCGGACATTCCTGCTTGACTCAGACTATGAGCGCATCGAGCTGGGTAAGGGGGCTGCACGGCAGGGTTGGGGCGGCGGGGCGGGGCTGGCCAGGCTCACTGCTGCATCCCCACAGGCCTGCTGTACGAGGAGAAGGGGGAGCGGAGGGGCCCGCAGGCCTGCAGGTCTGTGTGGGAGTACATGGACCGGCTGAGCAAGAAGACCCCTGTGTTCTACAACTACATGTACGCGCCTGAGGACACGGAGGTCAGCACGGGGCCGGGGGTGGGATGAGGGGGCCCCTGCCCAACCCGTCCTCAACGCTTGCCCCCCCACCCCCGCCCCAGGTCCTGCGCCCCTACAGCAACGTGTCCAACCTGAAGGTGTGGGACTTCTACACTGAGGAGACCCTGGCTGAGGGCCCCCCCTATGACTGGGAACTGGCACAGGGCCCCCCTGAACCCCCCGAGGAGGAGCGGCCCGACGGTGGAGCCCCCCAGAGCAGGCGCCGTGTGGTGTGGCCTTGCTATGACAGCCGCCCCCGGGCGCAGCCTGACGCCATCTCACGCCTGCTGGAGGTGTGTTCCGTGGAGCATGTGTGTGCACATTCCCACATTTGTGTACATGTGTATCCGTGTGTCCATATGTGCATGTACATTGTGTCCGTGTGTGCACGTGGTGAGTGTGTCCTGGGAGTTAGGGTGAATTGTCTGCTGGCCTGGGGTGGCTGTGGTCCCCCTGGCCCTGCCCCACGTTGGTGGGGTGTCTGCAGACCGTGGTGACTGTGAGCACTGGTCCCACACCCCTAGTATCCTGACACCCTCTCTGCTCTGGAAAGTTTGTCACGTGTGTGTCTCTTTGATATGGCTCTGAGCGGCTCAGGCAGTGCTTTTAGCAGCGTGGCCATGCTGTGGGGTCAGCCTTGAGGGGAGACAGTATCCCAGGGGAACATCCCACCTCCCTCCTAGGCTCCTTCCCCACCCACCCTAAGTGAGGGCTGCTTGTCTGGGCCCTTTGCTGGCTTGATGCCCTTTCAGGACAGGATGTGTGGTGGGCCTGGGGCTTGGGACGGACATCCAGGCCCCTCATGCCTCCCCCTGCCATTCTCACCTGGTGGCCCCGTGGCCCTGGAGTGTGTTTGGACATTACAGGTGGAAAGCAGGATGTTGATTCCTGGCCCGCAGGTAATGTGTGAAGGAGGTAACCTGCACGAGGTCTGCTTGAAGGCACCTGTCACCTTTCAGGGTTTGGGTAGCATGGAATCATGATTTTTATCTCTGGTGGTACTTTTTGTCTCGGAATCTGCTTAGAGAGATGTTAACGTGGCACTCCATTGTCTTGCGATTAGTGTGTGCGTGACATCATTTGCTATACTTTCACATTTAACAAGTCTGTCTTTATATTTAAGGTGATTGTCTTGTATTCAGCTCGTAGTTGGGCCTTCTTTGTATGTTCTTGTTAGCCGCTGTCAAGTCTTTCCTTGACTCATGGCTTACCCGTGTGTTAGAGTAGAACTGCTCCATACGGTTTTCTTGGTTGTAATCTTTTATGGAAGCAGTTCGCGAGACCTTTCTTCCACGAAGCTGCTGGGTGGGTTGAAACCACCAACTTTAAGGTTAGCAGCCATTCGCAAACCATTTGTGTGACCCATACTCTTTTCTTTTTATCTAGTCTGACAACTTGTGTCTTTTACTGGAGTTTTGATCCATTTACATAGAATGTCATTGCTGATATGGTAGGGTTTAGGTTTAGTATCTTGCTATTTGTTTTCTATTTGTTCCATTCATTTTCTGATTCTTTCTTCCTTTTGTTTTTTAATACTCGAGTATTTTTAAAATACTCCATTTTATCCTCCTTGTTTGGCTTTGAGCTATACCTTTGTTTTATTATTTAGTGATGGCCAGGACTACAATTATACTCTTGAATTCATGTTATACCATTTCATACACAAGAATCTTACAACAGTATATACTTCCATTACCTCTTTCTTCTTCTTTAGGCTGTTGCTGTCGTATGTACTTTAAGTATGACATAAACATGTAATATGTATTATTTTGTTTTAAATAGTCAACTATATAGTTTTTTTAAACTGTGGTATTTAAAAAACTGTGTTAAAATGTGTTGTTAGGTGTCATTGAGTCAGTTCTGACTCATAGCGACCCCATGTACAACAGAACAAAACACTGGCCAGTTCTTTGCCATCCTGATAATCGTTGTTATGTTTGAGCCCCTTTTTGCAGCCATTGTGTCATTCCATCTCATTGGAGGTCTTCTTATTTTTTGCTGACCCTTTACTTTACATAGCATGATGTGTCCTCCAGGGACTGGACCCTCCTGATAACGTCCAAAGTACATGAGATGAAGTCTTGCCATCCTTACTTCTAAGGAGTATTCTGATTATATTTGATGTTTATGGTTGTGTGGCAGCTTGGCTGGGACATAGCTCTCATTGGTTTGGCAGTTATGTAATGAGGTACTTCGGCAGTTACGTAATGATGTAGTTATGTTCCATTTTGTGACATAATGCAAATAACCTTCAAGATGTGACCTGATGTGATCAGCCAATTAGTTGTACGGGGAGTTTCCTCAGAGGTGTGGCCTGCATCCAATATGTATGGGTGGTCTGACAAAGCTCACTAGCTTTTGCTTGCTCTACATCCTGCATCTGGCTCATCATCATGTGACCTTCGGTTCTTGGGTCTTGAGCCAGTGGCCTGCCGTATTGCCTGCCAGTCTTGGATTCGTCCGCTTCCACAGCCTGTGAGCCAGCAGCCCACTGTCTGACATTCCAATCTTGAGTTCGTCAGCCCCTGCAGCTACGTGAGTCAGGAGAAGCCTACAGCCTGACGCCTGACCCAAGGATTTGGAACTTGCCAGCCTCAACAACCGCGTGAGCGATTTCCTTGAGATAAATTTCTTTTTGTCTCTCTCTTTCTCTCTCTCTCTCTATATATATGCATATTTCACTGGTTTTGCTTCTCTAGAGAACTCAGTGTAAGGTATTTGGTACTGAGAGTGGTTCTAGAGAAGCAAAATTGTAAGGATGAGTTTTCTAAATTGGTTCTCAAATCTGGTTAGTCTTAAAGATGTTGGTGACTTTGTTTCCAGTAGTACAGAGAGCACTGCTAATCCATGGCATGAGGTGGCAATAGAAATATACAAAATGTCACCACCAGTAGATCAAGTATTGATAAGAGGCGAGGCTCTGGGTGATCGCATGTTTGATACTTTTCTACAATTTTGTCAGAATAAGAAGTATAAAGAAGCTTGTTGGTTGGTCGGCCCTACTTTCACTAGACAAAGTGGTGAAAGAGAGATGAGCTCAGGGCTTCAGAGTCACAGCTCAGGCAGTGCATAAATGACCTCAAAGTTACCACTTGTGCCCTGAAAGAAAGCCTTATTTCTTGTAGTAACAGAGCTGATATTTTTAAAAACCAGACCGAGAGTCTTACCGTAAGAGTGGCTAAATGACAATGTCAGTTGAATTGCCAACTTCAAATGGTGTCTGAAGTTAAAGTGAGGGCACTGATGGGGAAGAAATGGGATCCTGAAACTTGGGATGGGGAAATATGGGCAGGTAATCAGGAAGCTGGGGGCACTGAGCCTCTAAATTGTGTTGAATCACTCCTGTCAACAGAACAAGGCCTCTCACTCCCAACTGAAGAGATTACTCCATCTTTGTCTGCTAAGCTACCCTCCCCAGTAAAACCCTTAGTCCCTCCACCCCCATCTGATGAAGTTAACCCAGCTGTGTCTGAAGAGCCTTTGTCCGAGTCCTTGCCTGGGGCATCGCCTGAGGTACATTCATCACAAGACATTCCTAAGTGTTCTCAGAACACATCCTCCCTGCCCATTTTGGCTTCTAGACCTATAACTAGACTTAAGTCCCAGCAAGCCCCAAAAGGTGAAGTACAAAATGTGACCCAGGAGGAGGTACACTACACCAAAAAAACTGCTTGACTTTTCTAACATGTACAAACAGAAACCTGGGGAATATGTGTGGGCATGGCTATTAAGGGTACGGGATAATGGTGCAAGGAACATAAAGTTGGATCAGTCTGAGTTTATTGATACGGGCCCACTAAGCACAGATTCTTCATTCAGTGTTTCAGCTGGAGAGGTAAGGAAAGGATCTAATAGTTTATTTGGTTGGTTCACTGAAGCGCAGATTATGCTGTGGCCTGCACCAAATCAAGTTGAAGTGCCAGACCTGCCTTGGTATACTGTAGAAGAAGGAATCCATGTTAGAAATTGGCATGTTAGAGTGGATTGATTAGGTTAGACCCACAGACCCACACATGGAGTGCCCAGAGGGCATACCTTTTACCACAATTGTGAGGAACAAATTTGTGAAGGGAGCCCCAGCATCCTTGATGACTACTGTGATTGCTATTTTATGTAAGTCAGGTTTGACGGTAGGAACTGCCCTAACTGATTTAAGACACCTAACTACAATTGGGCTGATTGGACCCTGTAGTAGTAGGGGCCAAGTGACGGTACTCGGTCAGCAAAGACAAGGTGGGCGTGGTTATCATAATGGATAGCAGTGTCAAAGCAGTAATCAGTAGTCTGGCTTGTATGGATTATTTCCTTTTCCCAAATGAACAGTCACTCTAATAAAAGGCCGTAGATCCCTTTTACTAGTAAAATAGATAGAAAAGCTGTTAAATATATACTTAACCCATACCGGCGGAAGAATTCTAGGTTAAGTGAACAGCAGTCTAACTCGAATCACAAGAATAGAGAGTCACAGTCCCTCAGTTAATTACCAGACTCGAGCAAGTTTATAGACCTATAACCCCTTGAATGAAGGGGAAGCCAGGGCCCCTTGAGGAAGGACCCCACTACACTGCCAAAACTTAATACTGTTAATCTTTCTCCCAGCCTTCCGCAAAGGATTTATGGCTTTTTACTATAGTGGCTGTTCACTGGGGAAAAGGAAATAATCAGACTTTTTGGGGGATTACTGGATATTGGCTCTGAATTGACACTAACTGCAGGAAACCCAAAACATCACTGTGGCCCACCAGATATATAGAAGTAAAGTTATTAATGGAGTCTTACCTCAGGTTCATCTTACAGTGGATCCAGTGAGTCCCCAGACCCATCCTATAGTGATTTGTCTGGTTCCAGAATACATAATTGGAATACATATCCTCAGGAACTGTCAGAACCCGCACATCAGATCCCTGACAAGTGGAGTAAGGGCTATTATGGTAGGAAAAGCCAAGTAGAAGCCATTAGAACTGCTCCTACCTAGGAAAATAGTAAACTAAAAGCAATACCGCATTCCTGGAAGGACAGCAGAGATTACTGCCACCATCAAGGACTTGAAGGATGCAGGGTGGTGATTACCACCATATTCTCATTCAGTTTACCTCATTGTCTTGTGCAAAAAAACAGCATGGAACTTGGAGAATGACCGTAGATTGTCATAAACTTAACCAGGTGGTGACTCCAGTTGCAGCTGTTGTCCCAGGCGTGGTTTCATTGCTTGAGCAAATTAATACATCTCCTCGTACCTGGTATAAGGAGCCCTGGTGGCGCAGTTGTTAAAGCAATCGACTGCTAACTGAAA